CTCGCAGAATCTAATTTGCATCCAGAATCCTAGCTTCAAGGAAGTCTGGGAAATGTAAATTTTAACTTTCTAATTTCTGGAGCATTGAAAGAAAACTTAAAATGGAGGATGAGTGAGTCAGCCCACCCTATTAATAACCTCGTTCCTTTTAACACCTAAATAACATTCCATAATATTGAAACACCATAGTTTATTTCACCATTCCTCTACCAACCAATAATCTGTTTTCATTTTCTTTGCTTTTGCAAACTTTGTAGCCAGGATAGATAGCTAGATAATACCTAGAAGTGAAACTGATTGATAATGAGAGATGTAGTTTTTAAATTAAATAGATGCTACCAAATTGCCCTCTAAAATTGTTACCTCAATTCTTACTCCTACCATCAACATATGAGAGCCTGTTTCTCCACATGCTTACCAAATATTGAAATAGTATTTTTAATTTGAGTGTGCTTTATTATTGTTTCAATGTGTATTTCTTTTTTTTTTTTTAAAATATGTCTTTATTGATTTCAGAGAGAGAAAGCGATAGGGGGAGAGAGAGAGATGGAAACATCAATGATGAGAGAGTCATTGATCGGCTGCCTCCTGCACGCCCCCTGACTAGGGATGGAGCCCGAAACCCAGGCATGTGCCCTGACTGGAAATCGAACCTCAATCTCCTGGATCCTAGGTCAATGCTCAATGTGTATTTCTATAATTACTAATGGATGATTGTAAGTATATTTTATATGTTAATTGCACATCTATTTCTTCTGTGAATATTGTTAAATCCTATCTACACTTAATATTATTAAATGTTTTATTAACTTTTAGAATGTCTACTTATATTTTGGATGCTAATCATTTATTTCAAACATATAATTTATTTATTGAACATCTACTGGATACTAAGAACTCTGATGATTATTATGGAAAACAGAAATATAAGATACAGTCCATGCCTTCAAAGTTCAAGCAGCTTGCACTTTCATTGGGGTGATAGGACCATCCCAAGGACAAATTTAAATAGGAATCAATTTAACGCAGCAGATGATTAAATCCAAAATAAGTACTGATGGTGGTTTAGAGACCAGAAAAAGGAAGTGGCAATTCAGGTGGCCTGTGAAGCATGAACAAACATTGGGTANGTGGTTTAGAGACCAGAAGAAGGAAGTGGCAATTCAGGTGGCCTGTGAAGCATGAACAAACATTGGGTAGGTAGAAATAGCAGTCCTGGGAACATTAAACAGCATGAATAAATGGATGGAGGCAGAAAGGCATTTCCCTTCAAGAAATGGAACTCTAAGAAATGGCTCAAGTGAAGTCAATCTTTAGGTAAAGTCATTGTTAAGATAATACAACGTCCTGGGCTTTGTGCCAAGCACTTGGTATATATGGTCTCAGTTGATACAACAACCTTACAGGTTCATTCTTGTTAGATCTCATTTTTACCTATGAGGAAGCTGAAGATCAGAGAGAGATATATCAAACAGCTAGTTACTAGTGGAACTGGCATTGGAATAGACGTCGCGTCCTCTCTGTTACACCAAATTACTAAGGAACATCATGGATAAAAAAAGATGGCATTCTAAAGAGACCTGAATACTAACTGGAGAGGTTTATATTTTATCCTAAAAGCAATTTAGAGTTTTGAAGATAGAGAAATGTCATGAAAATTAATATTATCGTTAAGGTCTCTGTTCAAAAGCTTCCTCCTCAGAGAGGCCTTTCTAGGCCAACCTAAAGACAGCTATTCCCTCCCTCTCCCCCACACACATTACTTTTGACCCAATTATTCTGCTTTATTTACTTTATAGCATGTATAAATATATCACATTAAATTATATATTTGCTGTTTTCTTGAGTGTTTGTCTGTCTTACCCACTAGAGTATAAGCTCCATGAAGGCAGGAACTTTATTATATCCATTGTTGTATTTCCACTACTAGGAACAATGGGTAGCCTCAGGAGGTACATGAAAAATATTCATTAAATAAATGAATTGATTGAGTGAATGGTTAAAGATGTGAAAGATGGTGCTTAGAACCTAGATATTTGTATCCAAAATATCTAAATTATCTCCTGATCTTTTGTTTTATAAAAATTTTGTGTTAATCAAAAACTTATTCCATATTTCCTTAGTAACATAACCATTGACTAGATAAATTAGTTCCATTTCTTATAAAGAATTACCAAAAGAGAACTGATATTTCTTATACCAAAACCTACCTCCATCTGTAAATCTATTCCTACATAGTTATGTACAGAGTGCCAGTGAGAATTTTTAGATTAAGCATGTTACAAATGAGTAATGCTGTAGCAGAATTATCGTTAAAAAAGCAACAACATATATTTAAGGCATTTGTCAAAGACTGCTCTGGTGAATAGAGTTGGTTTCACTGAGGAGGAGCTTTGTATCATAAAAGGAATGGATGGAATCTGAGTCAGAACACTGATTCACCAATATGTGGCGGTATTTCTTGGGCGGACCTCTTGGGCAACCAATCCAACTTCTGTCTACTGTCTTTTTCTAAAGTATCCGACTCAAAGAGCAATTTTCAGTTCTTCCTTTAAACCACAAGTGCACATCCGCTAACACCTGTTAAACAAGTTTCCTTTTAATTACCCTCTGCTCTTGCACCCAGCCCTTAAAATCCCAGGTATCACTGTGGTTAGTACATTTACTGAGAACCACTGATCAGGACAAAAGAAGTGCAGAAGTTCCCTTTATCTCTATTGACATCAACAGCCAATATAGCAGCACATTATGTATAGGTAAGTGGAGATTTGCTTGCCTAAAATTCTGACATAAATAAAACTATTTTCCCAATATGACTCCCACCCAAGGGTTGTAATAAAATAATTGAGTTTAAGAGGAACTTGTGATTTTGCCACAGAATTTTTAATTTCCTGCATGGAGACAACCCTATCACATAGGCATATTTTTGGTTTAGAATTTGTAGTTTTGTACAGTGATTCGGGGAGTGCTTCAGAAAGGTGACGTGCTGCTTAACGAATGTATGACTGTTATAAAGTGGAAAGGAGGAAGCAAAGAGAAATTTTTTTTCTCTTATAAGTCAAATGTTAAATTGTTATTCGTGGTGATCATGATTATGAGTTCCTTGTATTTTTTAACATTTTGTGCTTTCTAAAGTGCTTTCATGAAAATTGTCTTGAATCTTACAGTAGTATTGCTTCATAGCTGTTTTTTGTATAACCATATATAAAACCATGTACTTTTGTCTGTAAAATGTTCATGAATTAGAATAGTATAATTATGTATAGACATGTGCTGTCTATTTTTACAGTATCTAACTAGATAATTATTATGTGAACAGTGATAATTAATGCCATTTTTAAAAATTACTTTTCGCTCACAAGGAATTTTCATCAAAATGTATACAAAATAGCAAAATTAAATGAACCTAATTATAAAATATTTAATGTTTATATAACTGTTTTATATAAATGCATGCCTTATGCAAATATTTCTCTAAAAATGTTCACCTCGAGTCAACAGTTGAGCCCTTTAAGACACACACACACACACACACACACACACACACACACATATTTCACATGAGGATTCATGTAAAAATGTGATTAGAAAGAGTATACTCACTGGGATAGGAAAATAAGAAAACTTTTTTCTTGAATCAGAGTAAAAATTTATTGTCACATATTTTTCATTAAAGATGTTATATTACTCCGACCATGATGTTTTCGTATTAGTCACACCTCTGATCTATCAGAAGAAAAGAATAAAAAATAAAGAGTGAACATAGACATTTAGAAGTGGAGAGGAAGTAGCATGACTGTTTTGTTTTGTTTTGTTTTGCCTGTAATATAGTCATCACCTTTATGCTGGGTGGACGATTTTCTTTTAATTTATAGGGCACCTCCTTGTTCTCTTTCAACATTTTGACACTTGTGTGAACTCCTAACCCAAAAGATTTCAAAGGATTAAACGTTGTTTCTCAGCACTTCTAGTTGCCTAGGAGAGCTTCAGGCCCTAATTCAGTGATTAGCTCCTCTGAGTGAGGTGTTAATCTGATCGCCTGGAGGAGCTTGAGTGGATTTGGCAACATGGTTGACTCTGCAGGTGCATCTGAGGAGACCTTGGTCCATCCTGTGGCTGCACTTGGCTGCCTGAATGATGAACAGCCAAGAGGAAGGAAAGGAATACTGGGAGTGGAAGTCAAGATTTCAAAATCACATTTTATCAATTTCAATTTTTTTTTCTTACAGTTAGTCCGATAGGATAAAATGGGAAAAATCTCTAAAGAAAGCTGTGTTTTAGATTTTTGCCAAGGTAGCATTGAGAGTTCATGGTCAGGAGTTTTTATGACAAGATATAATTAATATTCTGGATCATCTGTCAGCCATTTCTCTTATGTGATTTCCCAGAAGAATTTGTAGTATGAACTACCAGAAATATTGGCTAAATAGCAGAGAGATTTTTCTGCCTGGGAAGTCTGTCATTTTAAAGCAGCTATTTAATCTGTGTCATGGTTCGTAAAATCTTTAGGTTATGAGTTAAAGATTGGTACAACCCAGAGAAGTACCTGAGCTGGTAACAAGCAATATTCAAAATGGACAAAGAGGCTAGGAAAGGTAAATATAAAATTCTAGAGCGCTTACAGTCAAGGACAATTGAAAATGAGCAAGTTATTTTAGACCTCTTTCAAAGTATAGTGCCTGAGTGAATTCTCAGGCATCTTATTTGATCAGATTTTAATAGATTTACTTATGTTCTTACATGAATACAAGTTCTTAAACTGTAGAAATAAGAGAAAAAAAGTTTCCAAATCTATACGAAGTCCTGTTATGAGGTAAGGTTTAAAAATAAAGCTAGTCAAAATAAGAGATGCACAAATATATTCCCAATTAAGATACCATTAATGAAAAAAATGAGTAAGAGTTCATGGGAGACAGAAAAGTAAAGAAAGGGTGTGGACTGAGGGTGTAGAAAACCGAGCAGAGAGAAAAGTAGTTTTGGTGGAGCTGAATGCTTATGAGATGAGGTAAGTGCTTACCCATCAGTGAAAGGTGAACAATATTTTAAATTTGACAGTTAAGAAACATGCTGACAATTTAAAGTATTTTGAGGGACATCAAACAATAAGACTATGAAATTCAGGAAATGTATAAAAAATTGAGATGAATTAGTTGTAGTTAGAATGGAAACAAATGTTTGTCTTAAAAAGAGAAATGTTAATGTTGCATAGTATTTTATACAATATGCACTGTAATATACTAATCTAACTTCACACCTTTGTTTCTTCCCTGTTTTTGAATGACTCCTCAGTTGATATCCATGACTATGTTAACTACCAGTCTGATATCTCAGTTGTGCACTGGAAATTTAAATCTCTCTCAAACTCAACATATAAAATATTTACCATTTTTCTCCTCAAGTTACCTCTTCTAGGCTTCACTTACTCTCCTTTATTTCTTGAGGTAAAAACTTGTGTCATCTTTAACATATTCCCATCCTTTACCAATATAGCTAACTAAGTACCAAATTCTGACAAATATACTGTAAGCTTTCTCAAATTCATCACTTTCTTTTCCTGCTATCACCATCCAGGACCCCATCACTACATTCCCACAGATTACAGCAGTCTCTTAACTCTTTGGTCCTCTCCTTTCATTTTTATCCCTCCTTTAAATTACTATCATGCAGACTGCTCACAGATTCATCTTCTTGATAGATCACGTCTTCATGATAGTCAGTCAAAACTCTTGATTAGCACTGAAGACTTTCCATAACCTGTATTCCTCTGATATATCTATCCTTCACGATCTAGTTGTCCTTAATGTCCCTTGGCTTCATGCATTCACTCCTTCAACAAGTAGTATCTATAATGTGCTAAACACCACCCTATTCCCTGGGTATAAAACAACAACAAATAATGGCCTGGCCCCAGACAACAACATGGTCACAACTAGAGGTAAAATGACTGCCATATAAAAATAAAACTACTTTCAGAGTACATCCTTAATAGGCTGGGCCAGGGAAGACTTCAGTGAAGAGGAGATGACAGAGTTGAGTGATAAAGTTTGAGTGGGAGGTCTCTGGGTAGACTCGAGATGGACATTTTAGATAGAAGACCAGAATGTGCAAGGACGTGGAGGTGTGAAAGTGTTGGGTTGTCCATGGAACTTGGAGTAGTTTGAAATGACTGGCACATAGGTTAGAAACAGGTAGAAACACAGGTTTAAAAGTGAAACGAGATGGTGGAGAGGTTGGCCTAAGACAGGGGTATAGTTTATTTATAGAAATATGAGAAAAAAGCAGAATGTGGGATACAGATAAAGAGAAGTTCAAATATGTAATAATGGAGCTATAAGTATTTTCCTTTGATGCCTTCTGTTTTCTCAGTGGGCTAGGAAGCAAGGTTATCAGCTAAGACTGAGGATGGTGCAGATGGTACTTGAGGTTTGAGGCAAAAAAGTATGGAATAGTTTTCAAAGATAGTAAAACAAATTGATAGAGGTTTGAAAAAAGATTCTTCTCTTGAAATCATCCACCCAATTTATTTTTATCTGAAATCTAATGCATCATAAACACTGCCACTGATGTTACTTCTAATCTGAAAAACCTGACGATATGTCCTGGCTAGTTTTTCAATATTTCGCCGTGAGGAGAGCAAATTGTTACACGAGAATCTGAAGCACCAGGAGAGTTAAAGTGCAAATTATCAGGCCCTTTTATGCATCTGAATTCATTAGATCTGAGGAAGGACATGCTAATCTGCATATTTAGTAAACACTCCCAGGTGTGTTCAGTTAATTTCACTCTCCAGTCACACTTGAAGTAGACCTGCTATGTAAGACAAAATCTCAACACCTTTGTGTGACATCAAGGGTCGTTGTTGCCTCTCTGTTGATAAGTCAGGATTCTCTAGAGAAACAGAACTTATAGGATAACTCTTTTGATAGATGACAGATGATGATAGATAGATAGATGATAGATAGATAGATAGATAGATAGATAGATAGATAGATGATAGATGATAGATAGATGATAGATAGATATAGATAAATGATAGATGATGGTGATAGATAGATAGATGATAGATAGATAGATAATGATAGATAGATGATAGATAGATAGATGATAGATGATAGATAGATAGATAGATAGATAGATAGATAGATAGATAGATAGATGATAGATAGATCCTATTGGATATAGTATATCATATATACCTATAGGGTGTCCCAAAAAATGTATACATAATTTTATAGCTGATGACTGTTAAATGAAAATGAAATGTATTTTAATAAACACTGCCTTTATAATTATTCAAAGTGTGTATATACATTTTGGGGGGATACCCTATATATGCTCATGAATTTGTATCTAATTACCTATCTATCATCTATCTAGATCTATCATCTATCTGTATGGAGACTGAGAGAGAGAGAGATTTTATTTTAAGGAATTGCTTGACACAATTGTGAGGTTGGCAAGTCTGAAATTCATAGGACAAGCTGGCAGCCTGCAAACTCAAGCAGGATTTCCATGTTACAATACCATAGCAGAATTCCTCCTTCTCCCAGGAGCCTGTTTTAGTTTGTAATGCTTCATCCAATCAGATGAGGCCCAAATATTCCCTTTATTATCAAGAGTAATCTCCTTTATTTAAAGTCAGCTGATTATAAATGTTTATCACAGAATACCTTTACAGCAAAATCTAGACTACTGATTGACCAGACAACTTGGCACCATATCCTAGCTAAAGCTGACACACCAAATTAACCCGCACACTGTCCAGCATCACCTTTGGCCAACCCATGACTCATAGTTTGCTGTAAGAAAAATGAATTGCTGGTCATTTTTTGAGCATTGCATGTTGTTCCCTCTTCCTAGGCATGTTTCCATGCCTCTTTGTCTGGAAGGTTTCACACATCCTTATTTCAACCTAAGCAGGGGCTCTCAACACATATTTATTGTATAGATGAAACAGTGAAAATACCTAACTTATTTATTGTATGTTGATCATTCTTGTCTATAAAAGATCTTTTTGAATCATATCCATAAACAAACTAGTAAGAGAGATGAGCACTGCTCCGGCCCAATATAGCACTTCATATTTGTGTGTTTTTGTATATAATGACATAATAAAATAGAATTATGATCATGCTTTAAAAAATTATTATAGGCCTGGCTGGTGTGGCTCAGCGGTTGAGCATCGACCTATGATCCAGGAGATCACAATTCAATTCCCGATCAGAGCACATGCCCAGGTTGTGGGCTCCATCCTCAGTCGGGGGAGTGCAGGAGGCAGCCGATCAATGACTCTCATCATTGATGTTTCTCTTTCTCCCTTCCTCTCTCTGAAATCAGTAAAGATATATTTTTTTTAAAATTATGATAGGCTTAGGCCTAAAGAACTTCTACACATTTCCATTCCCTACCCTCAGTCCCCTGCAACGTGGCAAGTTCTTCACTTATTGATACTAACTGTGACTATCCATTGATCATGGGAAGGAACTAGATGCTAAGTATAGATAACTTGGCACCAATCATCAGACTCCTGAGAAATAATTTCATAGCACAGATCCAGAGAGGTTCGATTATGAGCTTTAAGGTAAACTCATGGGCTTTCTTCCTTCCCTCCCTTCTATATTCCCCTTCCCTCCCTCCCTGTCTCCTTTCTCTTTTTTCCTCCCTCCCTCCCTCCTTCTCTCTCTCTCACTCTTAAAAGGTCTTTTGCCATTACTGTGCCTAAATTGTGGAGCTTCTAGACATGAGCAAAAGAAAAATAAATATTTGGACTGGTTTTTTTTTTGTATCCTTCATATTTATGTCTTTTACTTGCAGACCAGTCACAACTTCCCGTACATCTTTGCCCCTATGGATAATTGCCCTTATTGTGTTTGGAGTGTTGGCAATCCTGGGAATAACTATTGGTCTCCTGGTTCATTTTCTGGCAGTAGGTTGGTAAAGAATACATTTTTACTTATTACAGTTTTTTGTAAACTTTATTTCCATTTCTACAAGAGAAAACTGCAAGCAATGAATTATCTCTACTTAAAAGGTTTCTTTCTGGGATCATGGGTAAAAGAATGTATACCATAAAGAGATATGAATGCATAGATAGATATTTGATAGGCAAAAAAATTCTCTACCAAGATGGTATTATATATGTTATTTTATTACTACAGTATTACTTACTTTATGTGAAGAAGAGAAACCAAAGTATATTGCATTTTAACATTTTTATTCTTAACAAAATATTAATATAAAAATCCCTTTAACATAAATAAAAGACTTTGAGAACATAAGAATAGTTGGAGTTACTATTTAAAAACCATGTGTTTTAACTTCAAACAGTATTGTATTTATATCCTATAATGAAAGATAAAAAAAATCAGCACACTTCTCATTTTTTCCCCACACTTCCCTGCAGTTTATTACTAATATTATTACTTTCACATTGTCAATGTTTATAATCCTTCTTTCTGATCTGTAATCATAATGACTACAGTTTTTTTAGTTTTGAATATATATTTATATATAAATAGAGCCTATGCTCACTATTAACTTTTTTCCTATGACTTTGCCATGATTGGATTTTCCCCCTACAAAGCTGTATATTCTCATAATTTAGTCAAATTGGTAGAGCTTTTTATAAAAAATGAAGGTCCTCCTGCCTTATTTCCCATTTCTCAGAGGCAACCACTTTCAGCTCTTTAAGTTGATTCATAATATTGTTGTACCTCAATTCTTCAGTTACTATGGAATAGGAGGATTCTGTACCCACTCACACTGGCTACATAGCAGTTCATCTGGGATTTTCCCTCAGTAACACCTTGGGGGTTACTTTCAGTTGTCTGTTGGGCTTCAATTTCTAATGCCTGCATTTCATATTTCCTTTTTATTATTTTATTCACTCAGTTATGGTGGAGATATACTCTAGGAGCTTTATGAAAAGTATACATTTTGGACAATTTGCATTTCTGAAAATGTCTTAATTCTACTCTTAAACTTAATTAATAGTATAGAATTCTAGGTTGGAAAAAATTTTCCCTCTGAAGATAAAGTTCTATTGTCCTTTTGCTTTCAAAGTTTCTGTCAAGAAGTCTGATGATATTTTTATTCCAGAAATTTTATATAAAACCTCTCCTTCTCTCTCAACTTCTGAAACCTTGTTGGATTTTTTTCTGTGTCCCCACTATGTTGAAATTTCATGGTAATATGACATCGTCTAGATCTTATTTTCATTCATTATGCTGTCAGTCTAGAAACTCATATGCTTTAGTTCCTAAAAATTTTCTCATATTATTTCTTTGATAATTTCCTGTCCTATTTACTCTCTCTCTGGAAATCCTGTAATTTGGATATTATAATAGCCTCTAATTTTCTTATCTTTCTATTTTTATTTTCTGGCCTTAGTGTTTGTTTTTTTAAAATCACTGTCTTATATGGAACTGCCATTTGACACAGTGATACCATTTCTAGGAATATATCCTAAGAATCCTGAAACACTAATAAGAAAGAACTTATGCACTCCTATGTTCATATCCCCACAATTTACAATAGCTAAGATCTGCAGACAGCCCAAATGCCCATCAATAGATGAGTGGATAAAAAGCTGTGGCACATTTACAGCATGGAATACTACGCAGCTATAAAAAAGAAGCATCTTTTATCCTTTGAATAGTATGGAGGGACCTGGAGAGTATTATGCTAAGTGAAATAAGCCAGTCAGAGAAAGACAACTATCATATGATCTTACTCATATATGGAATCTAAAGAACAAAATAAAGTGATGAACAAAATTGATCCAGAGACACAGAAGCATGGATCAGACTGATGAATCTCAGAGGGAAGGCAGGGGTGGGTGAGAAGAGATTAACCAAAGAACTTACGTGGATATATGCATACAGTTGGCCCTCTGCAAACAGCACAGGTGTTTACAGAAAAAAAATCCTGTGTATTTTATCTTAGATACTTTCACAAATATATGTTCATCTTTTAGTGTCTGCTAGTATTTAAGATTGGGGTTTAAAGAGCTGACTGGAAGGCCTCCATGAAATGAGTGCTTGCTGACAATGGCATTTCATATAGACTGTTCTCTCAACTGCTGTTTTGTTAAGAGGACCCAAATTACCAATATATTTAGGTCTTTCTTTTGGATTGGTCAGAATTCCAAGATGGGGGAAAAAGCGTCCCTTGTTTTGGGGGGACATATTCTGGACTGCTAACTTTCTTTAGTCAAGTGGGGTACAATCCACCACACAACTTTGAGCGTGAGGCACCTGCTCTCACCTGCCTGCCAGCTTTCCCGTTCTAAAAAGGGCGGTTCGGAAAGACGCTGGGCTCCAGCTGTTTCAACCAGTCTTCCTAGTTTTAATCACACTTTCACCTCTATTTCCAGAGCTGCCCGGGGTCAGTTAAGCTTCTTTGGTTTCAAATGGCACAAATCTTTACTTCCCCCTGCAGGATGTTTTCTCTTTCAGCCTCAGCACGTCCAGCTTGTCTTAGTGTTGCTTGCATCACGTATCAATTTTTCTTACAGCACAACGGGCCCTTTTAAGCTACCGATTCAAATTCATCTGTTCAGTTCTGCTTCAGGAATATCAATTATGCATTTGTCGGATGTCCTTTGTCTCCAAAGCTGTTCATTCTTCCAATAATAACTGTATATTGTTTTCCTTTTCCATTTCATCTTGTTTTGCTCAAGCTAGTTCTCCATGTCACAAGGTTTTTAATCTATATCAGTTGCTTCCAATGTAGCTTTTATCTACGATACTCTTTTTCCCCCTTCCATTTCATTTTTTAAAATCCTCACCCAAGGATATATTTATTGATTTTTAGAGAGAGAGGGAGAGAAAGATGGATGTGAGGGAAACATTGATTGATTGCTTCCTGTACACACCCTGCCCAGGGACTGAACCAAAACCTGGATACGTGCCCTCACTGAGAATCGAACCTGCAACTCTTTGGTGTAGGAGACGATGTTCCAACCAGCTGAGCCACCAGCCAGGGCCCCTCTTCCATTTCTTTACTGAATTTTCCAGACTTTCTTCTTCACTAAATTGTTGTATATTTTGAGCTCTTTATTCTACAATATCTTTAAGACAATGGGAAGTAGTAGTTACAACTTTTCCTCTGTTCCAGTGATAATTATACAAGTTTCTTACTGGATCCTTTGTAATTATCATTTACTCTTCTTGATTTGGGCAAGACTGTTTTCAAAGGATTACTGTGGGAAGTGAGTCTAGGGGTGGCTCCTAGGCTAAGGGAGTTGGCAGTTGTATTTTGGTTTGTCCCCTCAAACATTCTCTTATCCAGTCTGTTATTTTCTTTAACACTAGGCCACATTTACCTTCAGTTTTGAACACTTAAGAAGTCATTGTGGCCCTGAGGATAGCTCCTTAGTTTACACCCTCTAAATTACGGTAGAGTGATCCTGACTTCTTCCCTTCTCCACCCCAGAGTAGCTCTATGTAAGGGAGATTAGATCATACATAACAAAAATGGCACAATTGTATGGTTTCACTTTGATTTCCACTGCTGTCATTCTGCAGTGTCAAAATATGTCTATAAAAATATTCCTTATCTTTTTATAGAACCTGAAGTCTTATTACTCGAATCCTAGAATCACTGAGAACTTTTAGAAAAACTTTTATTCATCTCAACTCGTGAGATGAAACTCTGCTCTATATCATTTCTCATCTTAGTGTATATTTCAGTTTTTGGCATGTTTGCTTCATAGTTTTTGGTTTGGAGTCATGGTTATTTTCTTGTTTTTTCCCCCTTGGAATTGAGCCCTCCACCCTTGTCTTTTTTTTTTCTTTCTTCTTTTTTCTGGAATTAAAAGCAGGAGGGAGTAGAAGTGCTTATACTCTGACAGCTTTAAATATACATGTTCTCATATTGATGCTTAAACTCTGCTGTTGACTAGAGAACTCTTAGTATAAACTAACCAAAAGAAAAAAAATGACAACATCATGCGTTTGTATAAGTTTTCTTTAAGAAATAAGTTATAAGTAAACGAGTCATGGAAAAGTTGTAAACAAGTTCCTTCTTTCTGCCCCTTACCCATCTTTCTCAATCCATATTGGTATTTGAACCACCTACAGAGATGGGAATGTTAACCATAAGGTGCAAGTTAGCCTTATGGATGTCCCATCCCCAAGGGGTTATTTTAATCTCATCAGGTACCAACAGAGCACAACGGCTGTATGCACAGTCACCTCAGTATAGTGAGCAATCCCAGTGGCCCATTAGGATTGCTGTATAGAGTTAAATAAAAATTATTATACTCAAGAGTTGATTTCCTTGTTCCAGAGCATGGTTTCTTAGTCCTAAACATCTTAGACATTGTATATTCAGTTCATCCACTGTACCTGGGGAAAAATGCTCCCTGCAGTTGAAATAAAAATTGCTCATATATTGCCAATTTATTTTTTTTACATTGAGAAATATTCATAGCTGCCTAATTGCTGTAATAGGTAGAAATACTTAAGAATCTAATTAAATAACTGAAGGACTCATTGTGAATAGTAAGTTATGAAAAATAAAGTTGAATGATTTCAAAGTCTACTTTTGCTACTTACAGTAAAACCCAATAAACTACTATTGCAAAGCTTGGTCTCTGTAGTAAAGGATCCATGACTTACAGACAAGTTAACTACAATTAATAATTTTCATTCACAAATTATATATAATCAACCCATTTTCAACATTTTATTTAGAACTTTCTGGCTTTTTTCCCCCATCACCTCTCTCATTGTAAAATATTTTCATCGCACTTATGACAACAAAAAAATTCATATTTTATTTTAAGTATGTTAACTCTCTTCTCTGAATTCATACAGAACAATTAACTTTATCACTTAATTATCCTTATTAATACCTCATTAGTAATGAAATGATTTAATCCACATTGAGCCTGTCTCTTTCACAAGTTGGTTTTCAAAGGTAATGATTATACTGCAAAATAATATTAACATTTATTTAGTGCCTATGATATGCTACATACTGTCATATGGTATCTGGCATATCCCTAGATGTTTAATATCTATCACATATTAGAGGTACATCATATATAAAATAGCTTAGTATCTATGAAAATTTAGGAAGGAAATGTAATGGATTAGGTGTGGGCTTTGGACTTAGACAAATAAAGTTTTGATTTTTGGCTTTTCTTACTTGTTATATGATATTGGATAAGTTACTGCATATCTCTAAGACTACATTTCTCTAAAAATGGATATATTTCATATCGTTTTTATAAAGTATTTTCACATAGTAAATACTTCATAAATGGTAACTATTTTTATTAAGTCTGACAATTGATTATTCTAGAGAGAGGTTTTATTTATATTATAAGGTCCTATCTGTCTCAATCAAGATGTGACAACTCTTTCTGACTTTTGTCTGATATATATATACTTCATTCTTGGTCTTATAAGCAATTTCCCCAGTGCCCAGGTTATCCAACCAACCATGCTAGAAAGATTCATAGCATTTACCAATATCTAATATGAGCATAGTACTTACTAGTTGGTATTACTATGTAATCTACATCTGAATTGGAAATCCATTACACTTAAATAATTATTGGATCATTTCTTTATCTCACAGAAAAGATGGTCTACTACTACCAAGGTAGCTTTAAGGTTCTGGATATCCCATATAATAGAAACTATGAAAGAGAGACATCACCAGAAAATAATTATGTTAGCAAAATTCTCGAGACTAAGGTAAATTAGTATTTTCCTATATTAACTTAATTGTTAATTCTCTGAAATATATTATTGGAATTTGATGTTTGACCCTATGTTCTCTTTAACAGATGGTTGATGCATTTCAGAGGTCTAGTATTTACAGACAATATATCAATTCTCAAGTCATCACACTGGTGTAAGTAATTATCAATAACATAAAAGAGATCAACTATCATAGTATTATTATGCTTAAAATTCTCCTGTAAAAACAGTCTATAGATATGCTACAGTAATTAGCCAATGAGTTACTAATATTCAGCAGTATCCTAAGCTAAGTGTCAGATTAGTTGTTCAGTATAAAACCAAAGCAAAGATCAGGAAATATAACTGAGTTCATTAGATCTATTGAGAATGTATCAATCCTTAAATTACAGAAAATGTATCCCTCTGGTTTACTAACTTTTTATGTTCAGAAAACATTAGATGGTCCCTTAGATCAATGTTTGATGCTCGGACATTTTTATTTAGCAGTAGAATAAATACAGACCTGGTTTTCTCTCGTCTTTCTCCTTGCAAGTCAGCTAAACACCGTATAGAACTAGAGTTCTTATACGGTAGAAGAGAGCATATCTATACTGTGCTTTGACACCAAGGCAACCCTTCTAGTCACAACAAGAAGTAAAATACCTCTGCATGTGGGTTTGGAATAACAGAGGGAATCCTAGAATAGGAATTAGACAACCTGAGCCCAGTCTTTGCCACTGAGTCGCCCTAGAGCCTTGGGAAAGTTACTATATCCCTTTGAGTCTGCTCCCCTAGCTGTAAAATATTGATAATAACACCTACACTGCTTCACTCATAAAACTGTACTCAGAATCAAAGAAGATGTTCATGGAACAAGTTGCAAATAAACACATTTCAAATGAAGGGAACTGTTGCTTTTGCCTTTGTCAATGCCACTAGTCTATACCTGCATTTTCCCTGCTCCTGCAACTCATGGGACTGCAGGGATTGCAGAATAAATCGGATCTCAACTAACATTAGTGTTGGGGGTCAAGTTTAGAATTGGAAAGACGTAGGAGACTAAAATTAAAGGGCCCACATACCTCTCAGAAAAAAACTGCAACCACCAGAAGTCTTTCTTTTTTCGTTTTCTTAAGCATATAAGTTCAGCTATCTGCAGGAAGCAATGGAGAAGCAGATTCGAATTTGGACACACCCTGTTACAACAATCAAACTCGCTTGAGCTGAGGGCTTCCTGGGAATGATTATTGATTTACACGCCAAAAGATTGGTAGCCCATTAGGGAGATCCAAAGCATCATAATGCCACTTCAGACACTAGCCTCAGGGCTGCTTGACAATCCCTACATGTCCACTGGCTAGGCTCTTGGGTTGCCCCTCCTTCTCCCAGTTTCAAACAAATCTGCCCTGAGCACCCCAGTCAGATTCATCTTCCTCAAGCACAATTTCACTCAGCTTCTCTTTGCTGCCCTTCGGCTGGTGTTAAAGGCCCTCCTCCAGCTAAGCCCAGGCTCATAGATGCCATTGCCCCGGCTGACTGGACGGAGGGAGCGTGCACATTAGAGCCAGGTGATGGAGTTCTGGACCCTCGATCGGCAGCTGTGTAACCTCGAGCACTTTAGGTAACCTCCAGGGCCTCAAGTTTTCCTTGTCTATAAAGTGAAGACGAGGACCCCTATGCTGCAGGGCTGCTGTGGAGACTAAGTGTGATAATGAATGTGATAACCAAGCATTGAGAACATAGCAGGTGACCAATAAATGCTAATTAATGTTACTGCTCTCTAGTTATTCTGGAGTTCTATTCTGCCTCTTCTCCACCTGACAGCATTTTCTGCTTGATGATGAAGCAGCAATAAAGAATACTTAAGGGCCAGTGTGCATGTCACCTCTTCCATGAAAGTTTCTCTGATCCTTTAAGTGAAAAAATGACTTATCTTGTTTCTTATTCAGTAGATAAGATAAATATCTTACCACTTCTGCCTCATTTATTATAGTCATTTATATACATGTTTTATCTCTCTTAGAAATCTAGAAATTTCTTGAGGGTGGGATACATGTCTTAGTCCTACCCTCACATCACCCAATAGCACCTAGTCCAGTCGTTTGTCTATAGCAGTTGCTCAAAAAATGATTAATGAATGTTTGAATAAATGAGCCCAGTTCTTCTACCCTGTGCCTCAGGCCATTCCTGCTTTTCAGATTTCTAGAACCACTTAACCTCTAAACTGAATAATACAGCTGCATGCATACTGTCACCAAGAAAATGTAGGTAGAAGCAAAATCCCTAGGAAGGTACTACACAAACCCATAAAAATCAGAAGAAACCAAGAAATCAAGATCAGGAAATAAGGAAGGAAATTTAATTTTTTAGCAACATATGACACCTTTATGTTGTTTCCAGTCCTGAGAGCAACAGTATGACAGCACATATATGGCTGGTATTCAAGGCTTCCAGATCAATGAAGGAAAACACAAGAAGAAGAATTGAAAGCATCTTACGTGACATGCTGAGTGACCACTCGGGATCCTTGACGACGGAGCCTAATTCTCTTAAGCTTGTGGGTAAGCTTATATATTCAATAACAGCACTGTTACTTTCGTCTTTTTATCCTGGACACATGTCACAAGCACCAGAAACAAAGCCAATCCTCAATATTTTTTAAAAAAATGAGTGTCATTGTTTTATATCAGGGCAATTTGTATTCTTCATTATCAAAAACATTAAAATAATAATGTTACACCTTAAAAACGGGTTCTGGTGGGAAAAAGCTGCTTCTTATTTGAGAGAGGATAGTAAGGCTTTGAACAGTTCCTATACGTAATAGTGTGTCTTGCTACTCTTTTCATGATTTCCTATAATTTTCAAAAACTGCCTAGGATCTGCTACGATGACAGGTCACTTTTTAAAAGTTATTTTTGTATACTAGCAGGAATCAGGTTCACTTGTGAAGACTTCCTGTTCTTTTAAGAGAAGATACTGGCAATTTTCCACTCCAGATGATGTAGAATACAATTTCAATTAAGTAAAAAGAAGTCTCTCATATGGAACTATGAAGATAGTATTTCCATATCACTTTCACATACAGTAAAAGAACAATTCTAATAAACCAATGTTCTCTCATTCCTATTGACATTTTATCCTGCGAGTCTGAATCCTACTCTGCCGGACCTACCATCTCACTCCATTGGTTCCAGGGCCAGTGGGACTAATGCTAGGTATTAGATTTACTATGTGCTTTTTGTTCTATTTCAGAAATCAGTAAGGCCAATGCTGAAAAGATTATCAACAACCGTAAGTCCATACACTTTTTAATTAAATATATGAGATGATCTAAAACATAAGTCAAGATTCGTTACTCTTGGCTGGGCACTGTTCTAAGTGCTTTACATAAAACTTACTGAGCCCTCATAACCATTCTAGAAATAGGCATTTTTATCATCTCATTTTAGAGATGGGGAAACCGAAGCACAAAGAAGTGGCATAATTTGCTTAAATTCAACCGGCTTGTAAAGGGTGGGACCAGAATTCAAACCAGGGAGCATGGTTGCAGAAGCCATGGGCTTAACCATGACTTTATATGCCTCCTACAGCTTTCACACTCTTCAAGCACTGAGACGTCTTGGAGGTGCTATGGTGGGTGTGGGGGTGATTCAGGGGTTGCTAGTGATTCCTATACAGACTGTTCTGTTCCTACCAGTGTGAGATATTGTCAGACAGAACCCTACAAGAATATCTCACTTCACTCTCAGCTTTGTCATCAAATCAACATTATCTTTCTATACTCAATGGAACAAAACTGACTCCCTCTGACAGGCTGTGGGAGACGAGCGAGGATGTCAGCTACGTATGATAGAGTCAAGGGAGGTTCCAGTGCTCGGGAAGGAGAATGGCCCTGGCAAGCAAGTCTCAAAATAAATGGCCAACACTACTGTGGGGCATCTTTGATCAGTGACAGATACCTGGTGACTGCAGCTCACTGCTTTCAAAAGTAAGTTCATCATGTTGCCCAAAGCCAGGGAGATCAAAAGCCCTGGAACATTTCCAGTTGATTCCTGTTATCCCAGTTTAATGATCAGTAGTACTCTCTTTCATTCTCAAAAGTGTCCTGCCAAGTGTGGAGGACAAATGATATGGTAAGCCAATCTAAAGCTTTCCTACCTTACCAGTAAGAATGGGAAGAGTCATTCATTCATATGACATGTTTATCTCACGTGATTCTTGTCTCACATCGTTTTATACTCCAGACATCCCAAACTACTTGTAGTTGCTAAAACACATCATCCTGTTTCATACCTCCCTCCCGCTCTTCACAGACCTGTCCCCCTCTTGTTTTGTAGGCAAATGTGACTCAATTCTATAGTTTCACCCAAAATGCTACCTTTCCTAAGAAATGTTCCATGCAGGTTTAAATCCTCCTGTTTGTGGTCCCACTGTTATATGCACAATCATTTTAGCTGTCATAACTGCCTGTGTTTATGCCATCTTTCATTAGACTTAAATGTTCTGAAGGCATGGGTTACTTATTTTTATTTCTATAGCTTCATTTCTATATATATAGTGTATTGTGTAGGGAGTCAAAGAAGGTTTTCAAAATTAATTTAAAAATCAGGTTGTATCACTGTTAATGGATTATCAAGCCAGGAAAAGATAATGTTATAAAAGGAGTATAATAGATGCAGGTTGTATTTCTATCATTTTGAAACAAATACAAAATACATGATTTTTGTTTCCTTAGGACACTAAATCCAAAAAACTATACTATCAGCTTTGGCACCAGAGTAACTCCCCCTTATATGCAACATTATGTTCAACGAATTACTATTCATGAAGACTACATCCCGGGGGAACATCATGACGATATTGCAGTTGTACTGCTCACTGAAAAAGTTTTATTTAGGAATGATGTACATCGAGTTTGCCTTCCTGAAGCCACCCAGGTTTTTCCACCAGGGGAAGGTGTTGTTGTTACAGGATGGGGAGCACTTTCGTACAATGGTAAGTCCAATGAAATCTTAACACAGTGTGTAAGGTACAAATGCAATGAGAGAAATTAGTGATCGAGGTACAGAGTCACAGGTATTGTTTTCCTCCGATGCCCTGTATTCCCAGCAGTTTCTCAGGAAATGTTGTGTGTGGGGTTACGACTGCAAATTGCCTTGCTTTAGAACATTCCAAGGAAACCAACTTGTGAAAACTCCCTAAATTGGAGAACCGAACTGAGAAAGTTCTGGCCCAAATATGTAAAAAGAGAGACCAGAGCATAGGAAGGCAGCACTAGGAAGATGTTTCGAATTATTCTCTGGACATTTCTTTTTCATTGGTTTTGCTGATGAAGCTAAGTGGGCTTTTTTACCCTAAGAATAGGCCAGAGTTAGATATAGATCTTACACACAGCGGACAAAACAAATTTTTCCATCCTGCTCTGTTTCAGAGCAGCTCTTTTGCTGAGAATGTTTGCTTCCTTTAGGTAAATACCCGGAGTTACTTCAGAAAGCACCTGTGAAGATTATTGATACAAACGCTTGTAATTCTTGGGAAGCATATAATGGTCTGATACAGGACACGATGCTATGTGCTGGGTACATGGAAGGAAATATTGATGCCTGCCAGGTAAGTCTGAACATTTTTCACACTGAAAACACAATATATAAGCAACTGCTGCTATTTTATGAAAATTATCAGCATGAAGAGAATTCTATACTTTAATTAATTTGTACTTTGACAATCCTGCCAAACTCCCTCAGCTGTGGCACTATAAAGTGATTCTTCCTTACATGCAACATGAGTTTATAAGCATTTACCCAACACTTACATTGGACTTACTCTGAGCTCAGCAGACTGAAGTTCCTTGCAAATGTTAGTCCATTTGATCCTCATAATTTTGTGATACAGCTACGGTATCGTTATCATTTTATAGATAATGAAACTGAGGCAAGAGAAGGTAATTTGCACAAGGTCACACAGCTATTAAGTGGGAAAGCTGGCATCCCAAACAAGGTAGTCTAGCATCACACTCCGTACTCTGGATCATATTTCAATAAAGAATCAGCCTCACAAAGTTTTCAATTATTTTCAGCTCATTTTTCTTACCTTTTTAGCTTCCTCAGGGTTAGGGGTCTGGCTACTTTTCTCAGAGATGAAGCCCTGTACTCCAAGTATATCAATCATATGTGCCTCCCAAAGCTTCCTCATGGAAGCCTCAAAGAGCCCCAGAGAATATATTCTGGCCGATCACAGTTACATTCTGGTCAACCACAGCTATGATTAAGGATGAAGCAGGGGTTACCCCATGTACCTTTGTATGGTCTCTATGAAGCATGAATCACAAATATCATGTGGGCTTTTCATTTAGGGTAAGTTAAGTATCTGGGAGTAAATTCTCACAATGATAAATATTCTTTGTTTTATTTAGGGTGACTCTGGAGGACCACTGGTTTATCCCAATTCTCGAAATATTTGGTACCTTGTTGGAATAGTAAGCTGGGGAGTAGATTGTGGTAAAATCAACAAGCCAGGTGTCTATATGCGAGTGACTGCCTACCGCAACTGGATTGCCTCCAAGACTGGTATCTAAGAGAAAGCATCTTGTAGAAACTATCTTAGGTCATTTTTATCTATTACTCCTAAGCCTTATATAACCTGCATTTTCAATTAGTACGTATAATGGTTGTTTAGAAAAAATTGTGGTCCTGATGGAATATTTTTGAACCTTAATTTTAAGCAGACTCTACAAAAGAAGAAATCTCATGTTTAATCAAGAAAGGCCTCAGCAAAGAAAGTACTCCTATACAAAACTGATTTACTATTTGTTTCCTGTTTCATGCACCTACATCATGGTTACCTCATCATAGCATTCAGCTCTTGGTTCTAGCCATTCAGACTTTATAGAAACACAAAAGTATGTTCTTGTCTATTGCAAGTTACCAGGCAGCACTGTAAGAGACTGGAACCTACATCTTCTGAGTGTTGGGTTGGAACATGTTCTATCTGCCTCCATGTAGTTTTTGTGGAAGGGGTGTGGTTGTGAACTAAATCTCATCAGAGTTTAGGCATTGACTTAGAGTCTTTTCAATTTGGGGTGCTGATCAACTCCTTCAGTCAAAGAATTTCACCATCAGCAATACTGGGTGAAACAACACATTTCAGATTTACAGATACCAGGTGCACTAATTCTGCAATGTTGATAGAAGTTTCTGTAAGAAATTATTTGTAATGTATATAAAGAGTAGTTATGACCCATGAAAATGTGTAATGTATTTTAATTAAAACAAATTTAAAAGTACACTTTCTTTGTTCAATATGACAAATTTATTTTTGTTTGTTTTCTTATGAGTCTTTTGCAGGTGACTTTCCCTCTTTTCTTTTTCAATTATTGCTCCCACTTGGGAAAGGGCAACAGGGTAAAGAGCTACCTGGAGGCAGGAAGGAGAGGCTCGGCCAGGCCAGCAGGATGCAATGGGCAGCTCCCTCAAAGGCCACTGGGCACAGAAGGCTCCTCCTAGTCACATTTCAGGATGAAACTGGCCCTGCCAGGGTTGGGGCCCAGCAGCTTGTTGAGTTTAGTCAGATGGTCACCTATCCTCTCATGAGTGTCAGCTCTGGGTCTAGGAGTGTGTCTCCAGGAAGCAACAGAGATGGGGGTCCGTGCAGATAGAGCCCAGGACGTGCCTCATCTCCTGGGCCCAGGGGGTTTTCATGGCCTGCAGGCTGCCGCCCCACTCGTCTCAGGATGGCTTCTGAAGTTCCTGGAAAAGGGCTCGGTTGCTGCATTGGCTCTGCATCTTCAAGAAATGAAGGGTGCTCTGCTTCTTTTCATCTAACTCGCAGAAGAAGTGGCACAAGTGGTCCAGGGCCATGTGATCCTGTGGACATGGAGGCCCAGAGAGAGGCAGGTAAGGGAGGCCCACAGATGCAGGCTGACCAGGCTCCGACGGCGGCTTCCACCTTGGAGGAATCATTCTGGCCGATTTGAGGGTCGTGGTTCATTGGGGACTGGCAGCCAACCGTACACAGGACAGGGCATTCAGCGGTCTCAGAAGTGCCTGATGGAATGATGGCTCTGGAAGCTGTGGCCAGGGGCTGAGGAGGGAGGAGGGGAGCGGGAGCTGGAGCTGGAGCGCAGCTGCATCCTGACAAGAGACAGACCCTCACACCGTGCGGACCTTCGGGGATGCAATGGGTGGCCCCAAACACCGTTGGCTGTTTTTTAGGGGAGAAATGTCAACTACAGGACATTTCTTGGTCTCGGTTTGCGGAAGTGAGCGTAGAGTTCTGCTTTATGAACCATACGATCTTCATAAATCGAGTGACTTTAGTGTGTAATACTCATGTTTCAAGACTAGAAATTTTTATCAGTCTTTATTGAAAATTTGACTCAGGGTCTTCAAAAGAGTTTTTATACAGTATGTAAACGTTATTTAAGCTTCAGCTATCTAGATTGTATATATAAAAGGAAATGTTTTACCTACTGTATTTTCTCCTCCAAGGAAATATGGATTTTACTCTAATGATAACCATTTTCTGTATAATATCTGGAATAAATATATATGACATACAATCATATAATTTACTTGCCTCAGAGTTTCATAAACTTGCTTTTGAATGGCAGTTTTAAGTTCTTTTCCACCACATATGATCTCCGTTTTTAAAATGTTCAAAGACCAAAGACTCTTAAAGAAGTCTTAGCATCCCTTGATATTTAACTCATTTGGTTATAATTAACATCAAATATTGTATTATTTATTAAAATGAGAAATGAAACAATAAAGCTTAACGTTTATTGAGTTCTTACAATTTTAATAACTTTACATGTCTTATCCCAGTTAAGCCTTATGTTCTATGAAGTATACCACTGTTATCCCAAGGTCACAGACGAAGAAGCTGGGACACAAAGATTTTAACAGCCTTGGCCAACGATGCAGAACAACATCCACCCTACGTCATTCTGCCCCCCAGGCCACCACAGATGTCCACGACAAGGCAGTGACTGACCAGAGGTGTGAAGAGTTCACATGTTTTGGGTTCTGTTGAGCTTATCTTGTTTGCTTACATATTCTGAAAAGAGTAAACCCCTTATAGCTTTGGGTGGTACCTAACACTGGTATGGAGTTCACACTGGGAAACGACACCAGTAACACTTTCGCAAAACCATTTATATTTGTGGAGTATGTTATATCTCTCACTTGATCCTATATAAAAATGCCTTCTGAATCATGGCCTGGTGAATTTGGTTCTCACTGTCCCTCTCTTCATTCACAGCTTTCCATGCAACCTTACAAGCAAAACTAAATATTGACTGTCATTTCACCATACACTCTGGGCCCTTCAGACTAGAGAAATTAATCATACAGAGAGGACCTAGAAGATAGGAGATAGAGCAAAAAAGGCAAATACTAGAAATGTGCCTAAGAATAGGTCTCAGATTTCCCTAGCCTTAATAAACTTCAGATGAAAGAGATATGAACATGTCATATTCCTTATGGCAACCTATTAGAGGAAAACCTAATATGAAGTTGATATAGATCATTAAATAAATTACATATGAACCAAAAATAACTAGACCCTAAATTGTATTTGGTTTGTGAAATTTGCAATGGTCTCTCCCAATAAAAAGTCATATTTTCACCTTTTTGGGGTCATCTTATATTATCTTATTGCTTCCATACTTTAAGAAGATTTACAGAACATATGTAGGAATTCTCAACTATATCAACAGGAAGCGGAATTGAGTTTCATTGCCAGAACTCACCCAGTATAGTTTCACCCAAATGACTTTCCTAACTAGGAAAAAACTGCTGTTATATGCCTTGTCTTGTAAAAATCGCTTTATTTTGTTACAGTTAATTTCAAAAGGCTCTTTAGAATGAACCAATTTTATATCCCCTTAGATGTAATATCTGAAATTAACATAAAGTATGATAATCCAACTTTGTTACTTCAGTAAAGAACTCAGTTACATGTTAATTAAGTATTAATTAAAAAGGAGGGATAAATCTAGGTTTCTGAAATGATGAAAGAGAAATTTAGTTATCCAACAAGTGGTAGTTTCTTCCAATGTGGAATTTAGCCATCTCAATAATTTTTTTGTGATTTGTTATATTAAAATTCATTAGTCTTCTTGCATTTTGACTGCATCTTTTATCTATGCATGATTTTATAACAGTATTTATGAGTCATTTAGAGTTATGCAGATGTTCCAAATGTTGCCATCTTTTATTACACAATATCAAAAATAACCGTCATTAATATCAGAACGAATCTCATTATAAAGTCTTTAAGTATGAGTGGGTTGTCAAGTTCACAAAGGCACATATAAATTTACCAAAATTTTAATTTTCATGACAAATGTCAGGTTTTATCAGCAATGAATATTGTTGGCTCTTTCACTTGTGATGGGTTTCCTTTATTCATTTTCGAGATAATGCCTGCCAAATACTGATTCTAAAAACCATGATTTGTCAGTTATTCTTTTCACATAGAATCTTGTTTTGTGACATAAGTGGTGACCTCAGCATGCAGATCATACAGTTGAAATGCTGTCTTTCATGACAGCTGTCCCTCAGTGTGCAGCAAGTGTTTATTTATATTTCTGTTTGTCATTCGGAATATTACTGAAGACGCACTCAGCATGAAAATGTTATACAGCTTACACTTTTTAATGTTTCAACCAGGGAGTTCTTAAATGAAATTAGGTTTTTGTCCCTGTGAATGTGTGGCACTGAAGAATGCAGTGACGCAATGATTCCCGTGTCGTTTGATGCCCCGTCTTGATTGGCTGCGGCGCCAGCAGTTTTGGCCACCATTGCTTTTGCATCAGTGGTTTGACTTCACAGACCTGCTAAAAGGGTATCAGAAACCCTCCGGGGTATGCAGACCAAGCTTTTAAAACCACTGATCTATGCTTATTGTTCTAAAGTGTATATTACCAACATCCACAAAATAATTGCACCAATGCATAAACATCCAGTAATCATTAATCTCTATAGTTATGTATGACATAGCATGTGGGAGAGGCAACTAACCCAGAAAGGGGGCTGGGGGCAAAAAAGGCTGAGATAATCCCTTAAGATGAACAAGAGGAAGCCAGGAAAAGACTTCCTGGTGAAGGGGTGGAGGTGACGGCAAAGGGCATCCAAAGACACATTGTCAAGCACCGTGACTGAATACATCATCATAGATTAGTCAGGATAGGCTAGACACACCTAAATCTCCACAGCTTACTACATCAACATTTATTTGTCACTCATTAAACTATTGCCACTAGGAAACTCTCCAAGGCAGCTGGATCAGTAATCCAGGCTGCTTTTGTCTTGACTCTATCCTTGGGAACATGTGGCCTCCATGATCTCCTTGGCAGGGGAAGAGAGCTGCTAATAGGTCTATTAACAGAACTGAAAATATATGCACAGACGCTCCTAGACCATTAGCCAGAACTCCTCACATGGCTCCTTCTAGCTTTAAGGGGGCTGAGAGATGGGAGCGAGCACTTGGAAAATTGGAAAGGCATACGTTTCTTTGGCCTAACCCAGTTCCTTAAAACAGACTCCTGGCATTAATTTCTACTGTAGAAAAGAA